CCAGACCAGTTCCAGACCAGTTCCAGACCAGTCCGAGGTCTGAAGCTCTAATCTTATCTGACGTACTGTCGATAAGATAAGACGTCAACGGCGCTTCGTCTCCGACACATTCCTGAACACAGAGGGAATCAGAGGAGGACGTCTCACCCCGACTACAAACCTGTCTCCAGATACTTCATAAAAGTACTTCCTACCTGATACTTTCTTCTGTACACAGAGCCGTGGCAGTGACACGAGTATCTAAGGTATCGGTGATGGTACTTGATATCGGTACATAAATACGTACTCTGGGACAGCACCAGTACCATGTACCATTGTCAGTACTTCAGATCAGCTGGTACCAGTACCAGTACCAGTACCAGTACCAGTACCAGTCCCAGTACCAGTACCATCTGGTCCGTCTGGGAGTCACACTGAGCCACAGCACCTGTCAATCATTCAGCAGCTTCTCACACTGTGTCATTTACACCAAGACTTTCACTCAGGAAGTGGATCAGGGGTCAGGGGTCAGGGAGAACGGGAGGTCAGTAAAGGTCAGAGTTCACGGGCTTCTTTTCTTAGACGTTTTTCTTTACTGTAATCTGATTGGCTGTCACGTGAGGCCACGTCCTCTGTAAATGTCTTGAATACTTTCACCTTTGAGTTGTACCTGTGGTTCAACCTGTGGTAACTCACCACACAGTACTCTCACCAGAGTGAAACAAATACTACAAACACTACTACAGTGTAGTACTGTTGACAACTGACTCCCCCCTCCCCCCCTCCCTCTGGTGGACGTGGTAATCCAATCATAGTTAATCTGATATCACTGATCACATCAACACTGACGTACTGTGTCTGTTGACTTCTTCAGGGCACTGACCACTAAAACCTGTGGTTTACGGCCCTGTCACGACACGCCCTCACATTATGGATTTTGTAGAATTTCAGGGCAGTAATTCACCCCACCTGCAGGGAGGCGGTGTTTCATCTTAACTTCATGTGAAACACAGTGACTTCCAGTGCAGGGCGTGGCACTGGTTCGACTGTATCAACAACATCAGCTCGACTGTGTCACAGTGTAATCAGAGTGTGATGTAGCACCGCAAACACACACTAATGAAAGTTCACTGACATACAGAGGGCGCTGCTGCTAATTTATATTATAAAATACAACAAACAAAAGACAGGTTTGACATGACCAGGCCAGTCACGTGATCAGGCCGGTCACATGACCGGCCTGATCATGTGACCAGGCCGGTCATGTGATCACTGATTTTAAACTGTATTGGTGAAGAGAATGATTTTCCTTTGAGGATTTAAACGGAGCCACAGTTTTTTTCCCATTTCCTCCTCGACAAATGAACACTCAGTGGACTAACTCAGAGGACTAACTCAGTGGACTAACTCAGTGGACTAACTCAGTGGACTAACTCAGTGGACTAACTCAGTGGACTAACTCAGTGGACTAACTCAGTGGACTAACTCAGTGGACTAACTCAGTGGACTAACTCAGTGGACTAACTCAGTGGACTAACTCAGTGGACTAACTCAGTGGACTAACTCAGTGGACTAACTCAGTGGACTAACTCAGTGGACTAACTCAGTGGACTAACTCAGTGGACTAACTCAGTGGACTAACTCAGTGGACTAACTCAGTGGACTAACTCAGTGGACTAACTCAGTGGACTAATGGACTAACTCGGAGGACTAACTCAGAGGATTAACTCAGAGGATTAACTCAGAGGACTAACTCAGAGGACCAACTCAGTGGACTAACTCAGAGGACTAACTGTAACCCTTTCATTGTAAGAGTTAGTTTAAACCACTTTTCCTGAGGTCCTGAAGTTCTTTAACCTTTAACCTTAACCAACATCCACTCTTTGATTGTTAGTTTTACGGCAGTTTGGCTAAAATGTCATCAGTTTGGAGTTAAAGACAGATCAGTGAGTTTTAGATCAGTTAGTCCTACGACCAGACGAGTCAGTGATCTGGTGGAACCTCTAGAACCTCTTGATCTGAACCAAACCAAAGCAGGTGAACTGAGGCCTCGGGCAGAAGGCAGTCGTCAGCACAGCTGTCAGTCCTGACTGACGTCTTGACTCACATATTTACTATAATTGGACGGATCATGTGACTGTGTCGTACCTGCACGGCAGGTTTGTCAGTCCAGCCTGACACGCTGTGCCATGTCTGGCTCTCCAAACATCACAACATCATTGGTCGACACACGCTAACCTGAGCGCACGCCAATACAGAAACATCTGTGTCAGGAGTAGAACGTGTCAACGTGTCAGAAATAAAAATAAATAAAAATAAATAAAAATAAAAACCCAGAGAGAGATTTGGACACTGAACGATCTGAACAGAAATAAAAAGTGAACTGGGAAAATGAAAGCCGTGGAAACACACGAGGGCCGAGGTTAACCACTGCTGCTGAGGCAGGGTGACTCAGACACACACTGGACCTGGACCTGGACCTGGACCTGGACCTGGACCTGGACCAAGTCACTCCAGGTCCAGGTCCAGCCTTACAGGGCCCTGGGTGGGCCGGGATTCGAACACATCAGCCTCACATTCCAAACAGTCAAATATGGCTTCATGAACCAGAGTTTTGGAACTGGACCGTGGTCCACATGAGTCACTGGTACTGCAGTATCCAGAGTACTACCATACTGCTTTGATCTTCTTTTCTCTGTACAGTAGAGTACTACAGAAGTATAGTTCAAGTAATCGTGTTCATGACTCAGTAACACATGAATTTGACCTTTGAGTCAAAGATGAGGTCAAATGAACTCGAATGAAAAATACGGATAACTCTATGTAAATATATTTATATATATATATTCACATATATGCACATGGAAATTCATCTTTATGAACACCAAACTGCAGCTCTTTACAATATACATGTGGTATTAAATAATAATATACTCTGACAAACTCTGTTGTCTTTCTATTTTAATAATAATAATAATGTAGTTCCTTATCTGTCCCACAGGGGGGGAAATGTTTCTTGTGAGTCTATGCAACTGATACAGGCTGCCACTGGAGGCGCCATTAGGGATATGTGGTTCCTCTGGGAATCGAACCCAGGACTCTCTAACTGCTACACTATAGAGCCACTTTAGTTATTATAGTTAATTAGTTTGAGTTCATTAATCAGAGAACACCACAGGTTGTTAACCCTGATAGTTAACCATGGTTAACTAACCCAAACTAAACCACACCTCGGCCCCCACAGTCGGTGGTCGTTCATGTTGTTTCCTGTTGTCACTCTGAGCTACAACAACAATGAGACTCGGCTTCAGGCTGGTTCAACCGCTGGACCAATCACAAGCCTCGCAGCAACATTTTGGATTTGTTTTTAAAAAGTGCCAGAAGGAAAACGTTTTCAGGTCACTGCGCTCGAGCTGCAGGTAAATAC